TACTCCCATCAAAAAGTGGGCAAATAACATGAATACCAAATTCTCCAAAGAAGATATACAAACAGCCAACAAACATGAAAAAATGCTCAACATCACTAATTATCAAGGAAATACAAATTAAAACCACAATGAGATATCACCTTAGTCCTGTAAGTATAGCCAGATATAGGTGAAGGGGAGGAAGGCAGCAAATCACACTGCCATGTGTGTACCTATGCAACAATCTTACATGTTCTTCACATGTACCCCAAAACCTAAAATGCAATAAAAAAAGTCAAAAAACAAAAGATGTTGGCATAGTTGTGGTGAAAGGGGAACACTTTTACACTTATGGTGGAAATGTAAGTTAGTATATAATCACTATGGAAAAACAGTATGTAGATTCCTTAAAGAACTAAAGGTAGAACTGACATTCAATCCAGCAATCCCACTACTGAGTATCTAATAAAAGGAAAAGAAGTCATTATATGAAAAAGACACATGTGCATGCATGTTTATACCAGTACAGTTCACAATTACAAAGATATGGAACCAACTTAAGTGCACATTAACCAAGTAGATTTTTTAAAATGTGGTATATATACACCATGAAACACTACTCAGCCATAACAAGGAATGAAGTAATGTCTTTTGCAGCAACTCAGGTGGTGCTTGAGGCCATTATTCTAAGTGAAGTAACTCAGGAATGGGAAACCAAAGATCATATGTTCTCACGTATAAGTAGGAGCTAAGCTAGAGGATGCAAAGGCATAGGAATTATATAATGAACTTTGGGGACTCAGTGGGAAGGTTGAAGAGGGTGAGGGATAAAAGACTACATATTGGGTTCAGTGTACACTGATTGGATGATGGGCACACCAAAATTTCAGAATCACCACTAAATAACTTATCCAGTAATAAATCATTCTGTTATAAAGACACCTGCACCTGTATGTTCACTGCAGCACTACTCACATGGAATCAACCTAAATGCCCATCAGTGATAGACTGGATAAAGAAAATGTGGTACCTCTATACCATGGAATACTATGTAGTGATATAAAGAATGAGATCATGTCCTTTGTAGGGTTATGGGTGGAGCTGTAAGCCATTATCCTCAGCACACTAATGTAAGAACAGGAAACCAAATATCATATATTCTCACTTGTAAGTGGGAGGTAAATGATGAGAACATAGGGACACATAGAGGGGAACAACATATACTGGGGCCATTCAGAGGGTGGAGACTGGGAGGAGGGACAGTGTCAGGAAAAATAACTAACGGGTACTAGGCTTACCACCTGGATGATGAAATAATCTGTACAACCAATTCCCATGACACAAGTTGGCCTATCTATATAAAAAACCTGCAGTTGTACTCCTGAACTTAAAATAAAAATTAAAAAAAGAATTTATCCATGTAACCAAAATTCACCTGTATCTTCAAAAACATTGAAATAAAAATAAAAATTAATTATTAAAAAGGGGGGTGGATCCAAGATGGGGGTGGATCCAAGATGGCCGTTTAGGAACAGCTCAGGATTGCAGCTCCCAGTGAAAGCGCAGAGGGTGAGTTGACACCGCATTTTTATTGCCCACAGACTAGGAAATTCCCAGGCGGAGAAGCCCCACGGGTTGCCAGCACGGCTGTTTTGGCCAGTGTGGCTGTGTCGGATGGCGCCGCTGCTTTGCCCCGCACTGCTGCTTTGCCCCACGTGGCTGGTTTGTCAGCACCCCGGCGCAGCAGTTCTCCGTACAAAATATACTGGTCCGGGTGCCCTTTTGGCTGGTGATTGGAGCCACGGGAAGTCGCCCATTCATCTGTTTAAAAAGGGGACTGAACAGGGAACCAGGATAGTAGATTCCAGGGCAAAAAAAGCGCCACGAATCTTAGTGCCGCTGTTTAAGCCAGCGCAGAGAGTTGCCGCACGGGAAAATACACAGATCCCGGTGCCTCTTCAACAGGTGACTGGAACACCAACTTAAAAAAAAAAGGCTCTGAGGCAGGGAGCCAGGTGATCAGGCTCGGCTGGTCCCACCCCCACAAAAGAACAGCAATCAGAAACTCTATGGATTGAGAGTTTCACAGCAAGCGCAGCTGAATCCAGGAAGGTCCAGCTCTGTGGGGGAGGGGTGTATGCCATTACCCAGGCAGCCCACCACTACGGAGGTAGTCAGCCAATGCTGAGGCAGCCCGCCATTGCCAAGGCAACCGGCCATGGCTGAGGCAGCCTACCGTTGGCAAGGCAACCCACTACTACAGAGAGAGTCTGCCATAACAGAGGCAGGCCACCATTGCCGAGGCAGTTCTAACTATACCCATATAAACAGGACTGCAGGGAAGTTCATTCCGCAGCTGGGCGGAGCCCACAGCAGCTCAGCAAAGCCTCTATAGGTAGACAGTGACTAGGCTGCCTCCTTGCTGGGCAGGGCAGCTCTGAAGGAAAAAAAAAGAAGGCAGCAGCATAATGGAAACTCATAAATAAAGCCCTAAATCCCTGGGACAGAGCACCTGGGAACAAAAAGCAGTTTATGAGTTCTGCCGCAGCAGAGCTAAAGGTACCTGCCCAGCAGCTCTGAATTAACAACGGAGCTCACAGCTCAGCATCTGAGCTCCTATAAAGAAGAGACCATCTCCTCAAGCAGCTCCCTGACCCCTGTATATCCAAAGAGCCACCTCATAAAGGAGAGATCAGACTGACACTTGGCAGGTATCCTTCTGGGAAAAAGATAGCAGAAGAAGAAAACTGGTAACAACCCTTACTGTTCTACAGCTGCTGCAGGTGATCCTCAGGCAAGCAGGGCCTGCAGTGGACCTCAGCAGACATACAGCAGAGGCACCAGCCTGTTAGAAGGAAAACTAAGAAACAGAAATAACCTTATCATCAACAAACAGAACATCCACTCAGAGACCCAATCTGAAAGCCAGCAACTACAAAGACGACAGGTGGATAAATCCATAAAGATGGGAAGAAACCAGCGCAAAAAGGATGAAAACACCCGAAACCAGAACACCTCTCCTCCTATAGGGATCACAACTCCTCACTAGCAAGGGAACAAGGTTGGATGGAGAACAAGTGTGATGAATGACAGAATCAGACTTCAGAAGGTGGGTAGTAAGCAACTTCTGTGAATTAAAAGAACACGTTCTAACCCAATGCAAAGAAACTAAGAAACTGGAAAAAAGATTTGACGAAATGCTAACGAGAATGGACAAAATAGAAAGGAATATAAGTGAATTGATGGAGCTGAAAAACACAACACGAGAACTTCGCGAAGCATGCACAAGTATCAACAGCCAAATTGACCA